ACGGAAGAGCGTTTTTGCGCACACTAGAATGGTGCTCATCCATCTATCTAGGCTCCAATAATATCTTTTACCAAACTATATTATCTCACTAAGGAGGAGGAGGAAGAGGAAGAGGAAGAGGTGGTGGCTTAACCTCACAATGAGTTAGTAATAATATGATTAAAATTCGTATTTGACGAGAATCGAATCTAAAACCTCTTACTTATAATATGAGTTAGCAATAACATTAAACCGAAGTTTAAACACAATATTTCGAGTGTAGGAATGCCTCTCTTAGCGATTTAAATTACAAGGTCCTTATAGAATTCGTACACATTGTAATTTGCACCCCCCCCCTCCCCCAGGGACGTTGACTCATTAAGAGGCAAGTCAATAATATCATTTTGGATTTTAATGATTTTTTTTTTATGTTTACTTTGTTTTATGTTTAAAATGGGAAGAGATCCTTTCCGGATCTCTTTTACCAAAATCACCAAATTAAGTTATTATAACTTTTAAAGGAAACCCTTATTTTTAGCAGTTAGATCAAATTTCAAGAGTCCAGATCACTTGATTTGGTGACTTTGGTGAAAGAGAACCGGAGAGGATCTCTTCCTGTTTAAAATGGCATCATCCAGCAAGCGATGATTATCCTGGTGATTATGGTAAACCCACTACTAGGACTGTTACTGAGCCGAGATGAACCGTATGTCACAGTGCTCAAGCTTGGCTTGTTTAATTTTTTCCGAACTTTAGTTAGACTTGGCTTGCTTTTTATACAAGCCTGATACCGAGCATCAGCATTTTCGAACTATTTCTTATAACATAATTTGGTTTGGTTTTAAAGTTTTTTTTTCTTTTGCAACTTACCAATGCATGTGAAAAATAAATTATATTAAACATAATTAAACAAAGCAATACAAAATTTGTAAACTAAATAACATAGAAGTTGATGATTGATTATTACTTAAGCATTGATAAACGTGCTTATTTTTTATTGGTGATACATCATTTAATTTACAAATATTATCTTTAATCTCCCTAGCATTACCCTCTTACCATCTCTATTGATAGAAAAAGGCTAATAACTAATCCTTTTATATGGTAAAATAAAAAAAGAATAAAAATATCCTATTTTTTTTATTTTTTATTTATTTTGTTAACTCAATTAGTTGGATTTGTGCCTCCAAATATGTGTTGGACAAGAGTTGAGTGCATGTATTAGTTAAATGATCGAGCCGAGCTCAAGCTTACTTGGAGTTGTTTTGTAGAAAAATTTGATATGTTCACATAATTTACGAGCCGAACATACTAATGTTCAAGCTTGACTTGTTTCTTAATCGAGCCAGACTAACTTGGCTTGGTTCTTTCACGAGTTGAGCTTCAACAAGCCAAACACAGACCGAACTCGATATGAGCTCGAACTGTTTCGAACCGATTTACAACCCTACCCACCACTTTTCTGATTCAAAATTTTCCTTTCTCTCTAATGTAAATTAAAGTAGTAATATTGCTTGTATTAAAAGAGTTGCCGTATCATCCAGCATCGTTTTTGCGTACCCAGACCAAAAATGGTGGTTAACTAGTATATATAAAATGTGTTCAAATAAGCTCACATCTTATATATACTGTACATAATATAGGCTGAAGCCTTAATTCATAACATGGTTTGGAACCTTAATAACATACATCTTACGTAAATTTTACATAGATTATCTTATATCGTATATAAAATATATTCACAAAATACATGTCGGTTTGAAAATATCAGTCGATATATCTGTAAAATTGAAATGTCGATATTTTCGTCAAGATCTTTTAAAATCTTGTCGCATACTGGAATTTTGAAATCTTTTGATATGGGTCCAAAGTCACTAAAAATTGAACATATTTCAAAAGTTAAAAGTCACTAAAAATTGGACCTATTTCAAAAGTAGGCCTATAAAATTGGACCTATTTCAAATTTTTCCCTTTTTTTTAAAACCTTGTTGCATACTAGAATTAGATTTTAAATCTTTGAAGTGGAAGCCTTGATGTCATGTTCCGATCCCAACATACATCGAGAATCGATACGTGACAAGGACAATAACGTTTGTTGAATACGTTATAAGTTACAGAATGAAATACTTTAACTGATAACCCAAAATAATGTGAAGGTGGCTAAGTTCTCCACAAAATATTTACAAATATCTACATCCCAAAAGAAGCATAATCTTTGCTTTACTAAGAACAAGTATGAGGTGCTCAAAAGAAAGTCCCAAAAGATAAAGTACAAGAGTGAAGCAAGGGTAACCTAACGCTCCAAGTCTCTGATAACTGCACTGCTACCCCCACCTACAAACCTCTCGGAGTCTACTCAAACCTATCACATTACGTTCAGTGCCTACACCATCGTAATGGTGCAACAGGATAAGTTGCGAAGCTTAGGAGAGTGACAATAATATCAAGTATGTGAGAATAATGCTAATGCCAACCATCAAACACAGTTTACATATCTTGAATATAAATCATTCATAAGAAATCAATACCAACTTTTGTAAACCCCGAAGGAGTCACCCAGACATCCAACGATTCGTCTGAAACCAATCACAACATCTCACAAACATCTTCTCATACAACTCAATGAAAAGTAGAGTTAGAGCGACACAGTTTGGCCGAAGCCTACACCTTTGAAGTCATCACAATTCAAAATCAATAAATCCCAAGGTGAGTACGATCCCGGACCACCACTCAACGGAATCGCGAAATATGAGGGATTCCGAACCATCTCTTAACGGAATCCAAGTTGATACGATTCCGGACCCTCACTCAATGGAATCGCTAAATACAATACATAACAATAACTAAATGAAACCCAATTTAGTTACGATTCTGAAACATCACTCAACGGAATCGCGGAATAAAAGGGATTCTGGATCATCTCTCAACGGAATCCGAGTGGATACGATTCCGGACCATCACTCAACGGAATCGCAGAAGACCAACAATCAGAATGTACGGCGGCTCAAAGAAATGAGACAAGCACATACTACTTAATTTACAAAAACTCAACAAAAAGAGATTAGGCACAATTACTAAATTTAGAACCAATCACCGAAGCGGAAGGTGAAACAATATCGAAGCAACAAATCCCCATCATAATGGTTAACGGTCATTACTAGTCCTCACATTAATCTCAACATGTCATTCATACAAATCAAACCACATTTCCAATATACATGCCACACCCCATTTCACAAACATAAATTGTTGTCGAAGTATTGGAATAACAATTCAATAGAACATATTCATAAAACCAATTCATATCCACACAGAATCATAATTATGACAACCTGGTAATTACCAATATCACATATATTAAAGTCACTCACCTGGAGTCCGCGCTAATGTACCCTAGCACGATAGTCAAGGCATCACGTTCTATCACCGCCTAACAAAGCACAAGTCCACATTTAGATTTCCTTCGATAATTCACATACTCAAAAATTCTCATATGTCTCCCACAACAACATTTAATGAGGAATCGAACCGTCGTTCTAATGTAGGGTCCATGATCTTTCGTCATTTGCTTTGGAAAATCCAATCACTAGATTTTCACTTATAAGTCCCTAAGGTCCTCAAACAATCTACAATAGCATATTAAAATCTTGTCTCAATTCAATGATAAGATTGTCAATTGTTAGAATAATCAAGTGGTAGACCTTATCGATAATATATACAATCAACAACATTTTCATAAATCGAATGTCACATATCGGAAAATTCGACTTTTTCCAAAAATTCTCAAATTTTACAAGAATGAAGATTTCAACAAGTAGAGTAAACTTTATACATGTGGCCGAGTCCAATTTGGCCAGGAAGGCCCTCAAATTGGCTCGCACCCAACGAAACCCTAAGGTGGGTGTTCTTCAATTCGGCTTCCTTGGTGTTCCAACACCCCAACCACCAATTGGGTCTTGTTCTTGGGTCCAAGGGAAGTTGATTAAGGGTGATGGTGAATGGTGATACTCTCTGGAATGACAATTCGTCGTCGAGAACCCTCGGGTTCTCCTATGGAGTTCTACATGAAATAGACCTTAAAACCCTTGATTTTTTTGTAGAGAGGGAAGGAGGAAGGTAGTGGAGCAAGTTGCAGGTGAAGGAGGTAGGAAAATCAGAAGATAAATTGTAGGAATTGGCCTAACATTGGCCGGTTTTGAAAATGAAAAGGGTTTGGTGGTGGTACACGGGTTCACCCCATGGAAAAAGAAAATGTCAACTTTTTCCTCCTTCCTATCGATCCTTTCTCAACCTTAAAAAAATCTGCTGGGTCCGCTTAATAGTGGCTGATGCCTAAACTTTTTCCACCACCTAATTTGCCCAATTTCACTTATAATAGCCGGTCCATTAATCTAAAAAGGGTTTGGGTCTTTTACCCATAAGTGGAAATTAAAATGATTCCCACAATCTAAAGTTTCACCACTTCAAACGTCCGTAACTATATCGTTATAATTCGGATTCTCAAACGTCTTTCGCCTATGCATTCGTGGGTTCAAGATTTTTTTAAAAACACTAGTTGTAACTTCGAAATGTCAACGAAAGATAAAGATTGATGATGGAACTTCCAACTCGATAACTAATCAATTACTAAACATATAATTAGTGGAATTAAAATTAACTAATAAAGATAACGTAATCGCAAATACGAATTTAAATTAAGAAATGCGTAATAAATGGTGAAATTCCGGTCTCAAACTTGATTCCGGAATTATCCTTGACTTTAGAATTGTGTAGTGGAAGCTTTGACTTGGAAAAACTTGAGAGGAAACAAGGATGAGGATAACAATTTACTCATTAACTACAACGTCATATATTATGAATAACAAATATAATTAGATCGTCATATATATGTAGTTTCAATAACTTTGATGTCGGAAAAAAAATTAGTTGCCGTATAATTTGGTATAAGTTAGTGCTTGAGTACTATTCGTAGTCAGACAAACGTCACAAACCGACCTGTTTCTTATCTCTATAAATTCAAGAGCAAGGGGGAACATTCGGAGGCACTTCAAATACGATGGCTAAATCAAGTTCATCAGTTGGTAGAGCCAGAGGCCCTTCTGTGATTTCCATAATACTTGTTCTTGGGCAGCTGATGGCCAGCTTTGAAACAACAGGTATACATATACTCTATGTTAGATTAGTCACTGATGGAGTTCAAACCTATATCGTCATGCAAGGAATCAACACCTTTGCACCACTTTAGTAGAGAACCGCTTGCAATATACGTTTCCTATATTCATTGTGATGCTTTTTGTGACAATATATCTAACCAATTCATTAATTTCTTTTTTAATATATTACAGGCGCCCAAATTGGTGTATGTTATGGAATGAATGGAGACTTACCACCCCAAGCAGACGTTATTGCTCTCTACAAGAAAAATAACATCCGAAGAATGCGATTATATGATCCGAACCGAGCAGCTCTTGCAGCCCTCAGAGGCTCTGACATTGAGCTCATGTTAGGCATACCAAACGATCAACTTCAAAACATTGCTTCAAGCCAAGCCAATGCAAATACATGGGTCCAAAACAATGTCAGAAACTATGCCAATGTAAGATTCAAATACATTGCCGTAGGAAACGAAATCAAGCCCTCGGACTCGTCTGCGCAATTTCTGGTCCCGGCCATGCGGAACATTCAAAATGCGATTTCCAGTGCCGGTCTTGGAAACCAAATCAAAGTTTCCACCGCCATAGACACCGGTGTGCTTGGAAATTCCTTTCCTCCATCAAAAGGAGAATTTAGGGGTGACTATAGCCCAATTTTGAATCCTGTTGTCCGGTTCCTGGTGGACAACAAATCTCCGCTACTGGTTAATTTGTATCCTTATTTTAGTTATATTGGCAACACTCGTGACATTCGTCTAGATTATGCTCTTTTCACAGCTCGGTCAGTTGTAGTACAAGATGGCCAACGTGGTTATCGTAATCTTTTCGATGCCATTTTGGATGCTGTTTATGCTGCGCTTGACAAGGTCGGTGGAGGATCTTTGGACATTGTTGTATCGGAGAGTGGTTGGCCGACAGCTGGTGGGACGGCAACAACAGTTGATAATGCGAGGACTTATAACTCGAATTTGGTTCAACATGTGAAGGGAGGGACTCCAAGGAAGCCTGGAAGGCCCATTGAAACTTACATCTTTGCCATGTTTGATGAGAATAGAAAGACCCCAGAGCTTGAGAAACATTGGGGGCTATTCTCCCCTAACAAACAGCCTAAATACCCAATCAATTTCAACTAATTAATATTAGCAACTAAATGTACTGTGAAAATAAAGGGAGGCTGTGGTTTGCAATTATCCCCACTGAATAAAAACTGCAAAGTTACATATGCAGTTCCATAAAAAATGTAAGGTGACTCAAGGCCTAGAGAACTTCAAATTTATTTTTGACTTTGTAATATCTCAGTCTGAATAAACAAAATGAATACCGTTAATATACTGAGAAATAAATGGTTTTCGTATGTATGTATGTGTACATTATATTTTTTCAATTTTTTTATGTTCTGTTATTGTACTTTTGTAAAAGATGGAACACTTTTCTTCATGTCGGTAATAACTAAAATAAAAGGGAAAATTTTTCAAGGACTCAAGACTACACCATGTCTACTACATTCTCCATTCTTATCCAAAAATTTTAACATAGAAGGCTGCTAGGTAATTTCCACAATTCTAGCTCCTCCGTCTCAATTTCCGTAGCCATCATAACCGGTATGCCTAGCAAAGTATAGCGATTGTTTTTCATAAGACTATCTTCAACCCTTGTCCTAAAATCTAAAATTTTTAGCACAAAAAAATTTAGGTTTTAACCCAGAAATAGCTTTCCTGCTCCAACCCTTATGGCCTCAATTTTTTAGCCTGAGATTATTAAAGAATAAATTTAGGCTAATTTTTTCTTTTAAGTAATTTTTTTTTTAAAAAATTATGTACACTATCCTCATTTTATTTTATGAACATTTTAATCTAAAAAATATTTAGATTTCGATAAATATTGAAAAATCACTAAATTTGGGTGAATTTTGAGTTAAATATTTTTTTAATTATTTTAACCGTTGGATTTAAATTTGGACCGTTAGATCTTTTTTGTTAATGTTAGATTTAATTATATACGATCTCAGCTGTTGGATTCAATAAATCCTGGGGGACATGTTGGTCTAAAATCGGCCTTAGCCAATATGCCAAAGATTTCGGGATCTCTTGGCCCTTCAAGTTTGTGTTGCAGGCGTGCCAACTCATTGCCTAAGGCCAAAGTGAATAAAGAGAAGTTGGATATTTTAGTTACGGTTTGAAATGTGACTGTGAACCAAGAAAGGAACCTGTTTCGACTGTAGGTTCTTTATGCCTTGGGTGCAAGGACTTTTGAGATGGGTGTTGTCTCTGTGGCATGATGAGTGAATGGATGGGTAAAAGCGAGTTTGGTGATTGATGTGTTGTGATGTAATGTATGAGGAGGTGAATCGCATTAACCCAAATGAACTTGTCAAATTTATCAAATTGATAAGTTATTACGTTACAATATTTCTATTACGATAAAAAAAATGCGAGAGTAAGCTACGAGAAAATAAATTGCAATAGAATAAAAATTACTCAAAGTTAGAGAGAATAACTTCTACGCTAAGTGCGATAAAATAAATTACGCAAGGTGCGAGAAAATAATTTGCGGGAACTAAAATTAATTGGAAATAGAAAGATAAGTAGGGCTACATTTTGAATATGTATTAAAAAAAATTTTAAAAAATAAAAAGATAAAGCACGTTGGTGCAAAGACACTAAGGGTGCGTTTGTTGCACTGGACTATCTTCAGGGACTACGCTGGACTGGCTTGGACTAGACTAAGCTGGACTAACCTAGTAAAGCGGTTGGAGCAGTGTCAGACTAAAAAACAGGATAATTAATAAATACAATATTATATTATTTAATGTTTGTCCAATAATATTTAACTATTCATTCAACGTTTTTCATTTTTTTTCCCCCCAAAAAGCATAACGTTTTCTGGAAACATCTCTCTTATTCTACTTCTGACTTGAAAATAATTAATAAAAAAAATGCCTTCCTCCTTGTCTCCCTCATTTGGTTCCGTCCCCATTCTTTTCATTTTCTACCTTTTATTCCTGCAAATCGTAAATCCTTCCCATCTCTTCCTTTGACCTCTGTAATCTATACAACCATCATCTCTATCAATAATTTGACTGACTCCATTGATTGGGTATTTCTTGAATTTTTTTTTTCCGGTCATTTGGTCAAAGTGTCGATCAAACAGAATGAAGCTTTGAGCTTCATCTGAAACAAAGAAAAGAGTTCTTTAGAGATGGGTAGAAGAAGAGGCAAAGCTCATGAATTTTTTGGGAATTTTCTATCCGTCCCTAAAGCTAGCCGTCTCGGAATTTTGTGGGAAAAAGGAAGAACAAGCACCGCCAATTGCCTGGCCACGGTGACGCCAAAGAAGAAGAAGGCAAAGCCCAGGGATTGGTGTTGGGGTTTCGCAAGAAAGCTTGGCTCTGGATCTCGGCCTCGTCTCCTTTTTAGTCCCCCTTAATACCAAGGTAAAGCACGGGACTATATAGCGTGGTTTAGCGAAGGAGACAGTGCCTCCTAGTCGAGGCGAGTCTCATTAATTGTAGTCCAATACCATTCCAAACATAGAATTAGAATCCCACTTAAGCCAGTCCAAGCTAGTCCCTCCTAAGGAGGTGTAACAAACGCCCCCTAAAAAGATAAGTTGAATGTGATGGTCGGAGACCTCTAACACTGACCTAGAGGATCCTATATACTAATTGAGATCATCCACTCTCAATGAATGCCCTTGATTGCCTCTCGAGCCTTGATTTTTTTTTTTTTTAACCAACGATATCATCAACACTAAGGAAAATGGGTGTGTTTAACCTCATAATAAGTTAGCAATAATGTGTGTGGTTCAAATTCGCTTTTGACGAGAATCAAACCAAATACCTCTCACTTACAAATGAAAAAAAAATATCATTAAACCGTTACACTAAGTGGCCTCTAGAGCCTTGATTTATTTCCATTACAAAATTCAAAATATATTTTACTCAATGGCAAATATGATGATGTCTTTGCCTTCAATTTGCAAATAATTTCCTCGGATGTTATGCTTGGTGATTATGACTCAATTCTTTTTTTTTTCTTCTTTTTTTTCACTATGACTAAATTCAAAATGATGACCATGCTATGTAGAAGGTGCCAAATGTAGGCATAAACAATGTGACACATTCTTGATCTTTGAATCAACCTACTAAATAAAAACTGCAAAGTTATATGTAGTCACATAGAAAACGTAGGGTCACGACCTAGAATTTGAAATTTATTTCTGGCATTGCAGTATCTACGCATCATAGCATATTGTTTATACATATATTGAGTGGTGAATAAACAAAATGTATACGATTTATATACAGACAGATGTACGGTCATGTGTATGTATATGTATTATTTATTTTCATGTTATTTTATTGTACTTTTGTAAAGATGGAAAACTTCTCTCTCTGTTGCAATAGGACATAAAATTGGAATGAAAAGTTTTCAGGGACTCAAGACAACTTCACTATGGACATTGCCATCCTCCATTCTTATCCAAGATTTAACGGAGAAAGGCTTTTGAGTGATTTCCACAATTCTAGCTCCTCTATCCCAGTTTCCATAACCGCCATAACCGGTATGCCTAGCAAAACATAGCCACAATTCTTTATGGGGACAGCACCAGTCTAATCCATGGTTGTGTCCTACAAATATTGCCTGCCGAAAACCCAAGGAAAATTAGTTACCACAGAGGCTCATGAGTTTCACAATGTGTTACTCTATAGCTCAATCTAAAATCATCATACTATCGTATAAGTTTCACCATCTTAGGATAAAGTAATATCAATTTCCGTCTAACACAACACAAAAAGCGATATTGAAAGTAAACCGATAGCGTTTTGACAAACACCATGGCCTCTCACATTATTAAAAGCCTAATGAACTTTGGCACACGAAAAAAACTAATCCAAGTAATTAATTAGGGTTTTTGATCATTACCTAACGGGACTTACAACTTCCCCCCGGATGCCTACAACCTTAAACTAATGCAGTTTTATTCACATTGGAACAACAAACAACTTTAACTCAACTAATATATGGGTTTCATTAACTCTATGATTACCAAGAATTAAATAACAGCAAGCAACAAGGGTTTGAAGGGAAAACCAAAAACCTAAACATCAACACCCCAAGCAAAGTTGTTAGCTACTAGTTTTTACAATATCATTTACAAATGGGGCATGAAATTACCTGGAATAGCTTTACAAAACTAGAACGAACGGATGCTTGCTCCCATTTCAAAAAAAAAAGGAACGAACTAGACTCCCTAATTCAACCTTTTATTGGCAAAAAAGCAAGAAAGGATCAACATAAACATGGACTTCCGATAAATTCTGACAAGCATAGCAAAACCCAACATAACCTTGGTAATAAACTACAAATGTGGGGTAACCGGTTGTGCAACCATCCCATGTGAACAAGAACACAAATACTCACAGATATTTGCAAGGAAGATAGGTTATTTGCACTTGACCAACTCGTTTTGATCCAAGAAGATATTAGCGAAGAATCTTTCATGGCGACATACCAATTGATAAACTAAAACCATGAGGACAGTTAAAGCATGGCTTTATGAAAATGGAAACGTTTTGTAAGAGTCATGCATGACTACCTTGTTTGCCATAATAACTAGTTTAAACGTTGCCCGGATAACAAATAAAAGCTAAAGATTCACTTCAACAAAATGTCTTTTAGCAAGAAAAATTAGAAATTTATTTCCCTTAGTGACTGATTTCAGCAAGAAAATTATGTAGTTCTTGCAAAAATAAGGCAGGTTTGTTCCCCTAAATTGGCGAAAGAAATTTATTTTCTCGCTAGATTGAGGTGTAGCGAGAAGATTGTATTTCCTTTTTAAAAAGTTATTTTCCATCGCTAAATTTACTCAGTCCCACCCAAATTAACTTTTACTCCCTAAAATATTTCAAACAAGGAAACAATTTCTCGTTGTACCTCTACCCCTACCAAAACAAACTCGCCTCTCTTCATCCTTTAATTTTTATAAAATACTTGGTTTTTGTATTTCATAAGGGAGCTTTGCCTCGCATCCCAAGTTACCTGTGCATACAGATTTGCAAATCGTGGCTATGGATTCTTCGAAATAGGAGAATCTGAGAAGCATGTCAAGCTACCCCTTACATATATGGCTTGCCAATGTTTGACAACGGTCATAATCTTGAAATCTCTTGGCAAGGTGTTAATTAGATCATTCCCTTTAGTTCATGGACCACTTTTTTGTTTCCTCCAATATTAACGGTACCATTTTTTAGTTTTCTCCAATATCTTATTCGGTCACAAACAATAAATAAATCCATTGTTAATTATTATTGTGAGAAGAGTTGAAATGACACAAAGAATTCATTTCCTACTTATAAAATAGTTGTGATTTTAGGTAGATGTTTTTCATGAAAAACCAGTGAGAAAATCTTTTGGAAAAATACGGATAAAAATGACCATCCACGAAAAGTGGGCCCTGGGTTCTCAGAAACAAAAAGGTTTGAGCAGCTTTTAATTAAATGGGCCTCGGCCCATTTTATTTGTTTTGCAAATTGTTCGCAGAAAACAGACTAGGAAACTCCCGCTTGCATTGAGAGCAAACAAACCATTCAGCTCAAACATTTTCTTGAACACCGATTCATCACCATGTAAGATGAAAAATACAACAAATTTTCTTTAGGATCGGTTTGCTTGCCCTACAAATACAACCATATTGGTAAAGAAGGTTCCGCCCGACTCGGCAATTTGCACAGTTCTTATGTACAATAGGGTCAGAATTCATAGCTGAGATCATAGCACTTTCCAAGTCTCCAGGGTAAAAACCAAATGCAAGGGGCAAGTTAAAGCAGGATGTAGAAAGAATCAACTGACAGACCGAAAGCTAGTTGATCCATCGAACAGCTTCGAGATGATGGAGAGTGAACAACTATTTTGCTGATGATAGGGAAAAATAATAGAGCATGCATTTCCTGACTTTTACTCTTTGCAGTTTCTCTATACAGGACCACTTACTCTCTTACTCAACAACTTACCTAATCCAGTTTTGAATTTTCTCATGATGTTACAATGATAATTGATATGTTATGTTTTGGACAAGAATCACAGGGAAATGATTTGTTTTACATTTCATGTAGTAAGTGAGAAAAATCAACACAAGTCACCAGAACAAACCAATATCAATTTCCATAGAACGCAAAAAGCGATATTGAGAGTGAACCATAATGACTTGACAAACACCATGGCAGCTCAAATTATTAAGAGTCTAAAGAATTCGTAGAATTAGTAAAGAGTAAAACCAATACAAGCATTTAGCCCAAAGATTCTTACAAAAAGGTCGTACCCAGTGCACAAGGCTCCCGCTTTACGCAGGGTCTGGGAGAGGTGAATGTCGGCTAGCCTTACCCCCATTTATGGAGAGGCTGCTCCCAAAGATTCTTACAAGCTGAAACTAAATTAGTTTTGTTCACATAGGAACAACAAAAAACGTTAACATAACACCCTCCGGAAATAGTGGCTAGATAGCTACTGTTTTTCACAATTCTATGAGCGATTAGGGTGTTTTCTTTGTTCCTATCCTACCAATGCAAAAACCGGACATGGGATTAAATGGAATAGCCTAACAAACAAAAATAAACAGATGCTATGCACTTCAAATCCTCCTTAAAGAAGGAATGGACTAGAGTCTTTAGGCCTTACAGACTTTGAAAATCATCTCCGCAACAATTAGTTAAGGCAGATTACGCTATTATATTTTTTCAAACTGTCGCAGATACAGTTGAATTTCTTTAGTAGTCCCTCAACTAGTCCATTGGGGATGTAGGGACATTTCATTCAGACTGCTCACTCTCGGCAGTCAGCTAGGACATTTTCATTTGACTGTTAAACATTTCTCAACATTTCTTGGTCAGGTTGATCATAGCAGGCCTACAGAAGGTTGGATCTTTTTTGGCCTTTTCTCTTCCAGGGTTCCAGCCATGCCGCTATTTGAGTCCTAGATTTGACCTATACGAAAAATTTTGGCAAAGTCCTGCACTCACTAGACATAACCTCTGCCTTGATGATGGCCTCCTTCTGCTGATGCAAATCTTATTGCATATGACTTGATCTTCTTCACGTCTCGTGGTTTCTCGAGGCCTTCAAGTCTTGACTTTGATTCTAGTCTATGCTAAGTTCTAGTTCATGGAATTAGAACTTCCACGTTCATAGACTAGAAGTGACAAATTTTCATAATTGGGTACATCCACAAAAATTCACCATTTTTTAATATTTTCATGAAATTTTTCCATAATTTCCAAGAAAACAGTTTTCTAAATCAGAGCAGGTGTTGTACGATGTTAAAGTTGGAACGTCGACCCTAAAACTAATTGACCTTAGTGGGAGAGGGGCAAAGTTTCCTATAATTTGATGCAAGGCTTAAAATAGCCGACATGAGATTTTTATTATTCCCAGCACATCGCATCACCTAAAGCCAGACTAAACCAAACATGTGGATAATTGGGTGACATGGACAATTTGTGGCTAAATTAGGCCTCGCAATTTGATACATTGTCAAAGTTGGAGCAGCCAAAACCAATTGGTGATGGGTGGACTGGAGACGCTTATTGTACTTCAAGGAAACATTCCTCACACCCACCCCACTGATGCACTTCAAAAGAAAAACAAAAGCATATAGAGCTTAACAAATTCGTTTAAACTTCTGATGTTAAAGTCAAACGCTCTCGAAATCATATACAAGTTAATCCATTCTAAGCATATCTAGCTTATGATACAGTTAAATTGTGTTTGTCCCTGTATTTTATTAACATAAATTTATACATAAATGTAAAGAGGGTGTCTGTATGTGTGTATAAGTTGATTACGCACGCGTTTGTCTGTCACTACTGGGACATTGTACCCTTTTTTAAATTTTCACAGGTGTCTCCCACCTGGATTCATGCATGTATGGTAAGCATGCTCATCTATGACCAAACCTACGTATGAAAAAAATTTATGGGAGGTATAAGATTTGATCTCACCTTGGCAGATTTCCTTTCGGCCAAAAGTTTCATCATACCCATTTCAGCTTCTTGAGGTGCTACTTGCTCTTCGTTAAGTGAACCCACGCAAGGCTTGTGTATGCCGAACTTTGGAGCAACTTTCTCATACACACGACTTGGTATATGCCAAAAGATTATCTCTGGGACACTGCAAAATTTGATTGACAAGAAATAAAAGAGTAAAAATAAAAAGAAGATTTAGTACTGTGAATCAATTTTGTATTCTTCAGAGAAAAGAACAGTAAACCTATACTCGTTAATAAGATGAAAGATGTACAATGATTTCAGGTAATACTTCCATACTTTTCTACCTTGAATCAGGGTTAATCTCTAGAGCTTTCTGCCGGAACCATTCTGCTTGGGCGCCGGATATAACTTCTGGGTAGGAACCACCACCAGAATCTAGGAAGTACAAAAATGCCACAGCTGACTTGGGATCTTCTGATGACAAAACTTGGAGGACATAGTTGGATACACTAGGCCAAAGCCCCTTCGGGCCATATCTAGAATGTGATAGCGTGTTAAGCTCAATCTCATTTTTCATTATCTCCAAACGTTGAGTTCCCTGGAAGCTACAGTCTTCTTTCCCTACAGATCAGATGGCGTTGTAAGAGATCTCTTACTGATCATTCTAGAACAAGTATAAAAAATAACAAAATTCTTAGTGATTATCTCCTAAAACTATAACTTACCTAAATCAATTGTGAGAAGAGAATCAAACTTTATGACGGCATTGACATATTTTGTTTGCATCGATCAAACTCAATGTTTCAAAGAAATACGATTACAATTGAAGGCAATACAATGCAAAGGGATTGAATAAACGGAACAGTAGTTGATACTCCTAAAGTAATAGATATCAGAAACTGTCAAGAGTCTCCTGTTTTTCGGTTCATCAAACACAGATTTGAATGCTTTCATTCAAATGTATAACAACATTACTTTTGCAGCCTAGAACGAACAAAGTAAGAAAAATAAAAGTTGACACTATAACGTGAATGGCAATGTTCGTGGAAAAAAAGTTGATGTGGGTGACTTTCTTTTATATGTTTATGTTTCGATTCCAGATTTTGAAATAGGCCTACAGAAAGAGGTCGTCAGTGCTAAAAGTGGAGAAATTAGTCACTAACTATTAAGAAGTACTAAGCAAAAGCAAACGAGTTGATCAAAATTGTGAACACATAATAGATCAAACTTCTAATTCACCTGAGCATGATGAATTGGCTACAGGACAATGAATTTTAGGAATTCCAGGAGCCGAAAACCACTCAATCGGCCACTCAAATGCTGCATCATCATGGTTCCCAAACACACTGGCCCAAGGAATACCCCTGGCTCTTGTTGGAGAAATTGCCTGATCCCAATACAAGCTTGCATTTCTAATTAATATATTATTAGCTGTGATGACATCTCCGAGATAGATAACAAACTCTGCAATGTACATGCCATTCATTAGATATATGATTGCTATATGAACATTGATGAAATGATGGAAGCATGGTTTACTTACTGCAACACAACCAAAGGGAAAACTTTGAAAATATATTGAACAAAATATATCACATTGTAAAGAAGCCTAAACAAAGGATTGTCACACTGACAGAAGTACTTCTTTTGGTGTGTTGGCTTTCTTCGAAAGCTATGAATCGTCCTTACTTGATTTCCCTTAAGCGATTTCCGCACGCTTATTTTCTTGCTCTACCGCACACCTTTTTTCCTAACGTTTGGGTTGAATAAAATGAACCGAGAATCAAGGGAGCTAAGCCTGAATGGGTGATTCAAATTCGCCTTTGACGAGAATCGAACCTAAGACCTCTCGTTTACAAGTGAAGATGAATACCAGTACTAAGTGGCTAGACAAAATGGAAGTTAAATGCATACACTAAAACATGAGAAACGGCTAATGAGAATTGAGATAACTTGCTTTGGTCACCTGGGGTTTCATGATCGAGTACAGAGGACATGACCCTAGTAGAATTAACATCCTGTAGAGGGCCCCATTCGGTGGACTCGGCCTCTCCAAAATGCAGGTCGGCGAACAGAGCGATCTTGAACGGTGCATCTGCTGCACCCGGCCGTAGATCGTAACCTTCTGGCTTGGTGGGTAGAGCGACGACGACAGTGGAGATGATCAGAGAGTAGATGATGATGTACAGACATGATGTGAAGAACAAGAATTGCCCCGTCTCTGTCATGACGCAGTAAAGCAGGGCTACAGGCGCGCTGTCGTGTTTAATGTTAACGACGGCATATTCCTTACGAGACGGGGACAATGCCTATGGCCTTTTTGGTGACAAAGAGGCGGCATATTCCGTTTTGGTGGGAAAGGTTACTATTACGCTTTTGTGATATTTTTCATCATTTACAAGTGAAAGGTCGTAAGTTCAATTATTATTAAAGACGAGTTTGAATCATATTATTGCTAACTCATTGTGAGACTAAGTTTACCCTTCCTCTTAGTGTAAATAATATCGTTTGTTAAAAAAAATATAAAAATAAATAAATAAAAAGTAAGAGGTCTTAAGTTCGATTCCCGCTAAAGGCGAATTTGAACCACATTATTGTTAGTCATTGTGAGGCTAAGTTCACCCCTCCCCTTAATATAAATAATATTGTTTATTCAAAGAATAAATAAATCACTTTCCTATAACAAAATAATATAGAAAAACCTATCAATACAAGGATACAGTTGTTGCAGTCTTATTAGATTAGGAATGTAATTATGTAAATTATAGTGTATCTAGGAGTATCTTGTATATTTACTTTAGTAGTTTAATTCCTATTAGAGTTGTAATACTAATAGGTTAAGGATTTAACATTTCCTACTACTATGCATAAAGGCACAGTGGGGTTAAACATCACACACCTCAGAATTACATCTCTCTCTTCCCTCTCTGTTGTCGCCGGCCCTTCTCCCTCTCTGTCCTAAATACAGTTCAGTCAAATAAGCTTACAACACATTATCAACACGATCTTGCCAGAAGCTAAGGAACTGAAGGGTCCTGAAGGAGACTCTTCTACAACATCAAAAGGCTTTCAATTATTTTCTGTCAATCAGGTTCTTCTAAAATAAATTAAGATATTTGAAAAAACCTTGAAGCATGAAAACATTCTCTATGATGCATGAACCCTCTATATTTATATTTTCCTTTCAATTATATATATTGTATATATGTTCAAATATTTTTGTCAATATATATACTTGTTAATGCAATACGCAAATATGCTATGTAGAATTTATGAGTCAAAACATCGAAATTAATTTAGAAGCAATTCGAAAAAGAAAAAAAAGGAAAAAATTGGGATTTATGCGGCATCGCCACCGCACCACTATGGCACCATCGTTGGACCATCGGTGTCATTTTCGACACCTTGGACCAAAACCTTTTAGGCTTGCTGCCATTAAACTGCAACCAAACCTAGGCCTGGGTTGAATTGCAAATGGGTTTGAAGCCCCAGCCTACACCAGCATGCCTGAAGCCTATTGGGCTCGTTCCCTTGACCTGGCTCACCTCCAACAAGCTTTGCTTGCTGGGCTTGACAACAGTCTCGACTTGTGATCACCATAAGCCAGCCTATGCAGCTAAGCTTACCTAGACTGGCCCAAAACCAAAGCTAGCTTTGCTAGGCTTTATGTGCACCCATACCACAGGCCAGCCCAGTGATGGGCCTAAGCACCCGTGCCATTTTTGGCCCAAAAGCCAGCAGTTTTGTTGCTGGTAGGGCTGGGTTCGGTTTGAAACGGTTCGGTTTTTTGCCAAAACCGAAACCGAACCGAAATTTCGGTTCGGTTCGGTTCGGTTCAATTTTTTTTCGGTTTTTTTCGGTTCGGTTTTTTTTCGGTTCGGTTTTTTTCGGTTCGGTTTCAGTCCGGTTCGGTTTTTTTTTTTTAATAAAATGTAAACTTTCATTAAACTTACATACATATAAAAGCCCACAACTAAACACAAACAAAAAAATGGGCCAGAACAACAACCCAACCCAAGGGTTGAGCCCGAAAAAGAAAGAAAAAAACGGAAAACCCTAGCTGCTAAGTTCCCTTGCCGCCGTCGAAGCAAGCTCCGGCGACCATGAACCAGCAATCCAACAAACACCAGAGGTGAAGACCATGAATCGCGATATCCAATCATGATTTCCTGCTTTTAACAACCCCTGAGCACAAACAAACATAATTTTCCTTCAGCTGATGAATTAACAATCACAATTCAAAGAGAAAAATAACCTTTTTCGTCATTGATTTATGAATTACTTGCATAATTCACATAGCAATATCATTTCTAAACAAAATAAAAAACTGAAGAACAAACAAGGAAAATTGATTAACATTTAGACCTAAAACTACTAGAACCGCTCAATTCCATTGGCGTAAAAGCACAACAACTGAAAATCTAGTTCTCGTCAATTTTCTTAGGCACCAAACTGAAAAACTATAATAAAAATGGAAATATGAATAACCTAATAACGAAATCCATCAGATCTAAACAGGCATGCAGAGATCGAATCCAAAAACCAAATGCACAAATCCATCAGTATTTGGATTTCTTTTTTTCTTTGTTGGGGGTTAGAGAGAGAGAGAGAGAGGGAGGGAGAGTACAGTGGGTGTAACTATCCATCAGTATTCGAATCCATCAGTAATCCAAATAACAATCGAAACAAATATCCAAATACACAAATCCAAAACCGAAACCGAAAACAAAAAAAAACCGAAAAATCATGAAATAATTCAACAAATTAACTGATGCAGATAAAAAAAAAAAGCAAATGGGTTCGTCTAAATGCCATAATCGGACTCCAATATCACATGCCCAGTGCCCATATTCAAATTCATAGTCAAGTCCACAATAGATCTAGAAATTCCAAAACATATTCAGAGAAAAATACAAACTTTTCCACCTTAAATTACATAAATTTCAAATGGGTAACCATAAAATTAAAAACCCATAAACTGAAAAATAGATAAAACCCACAACCTTTGCTGCAGCGATATCGCAGTGATCGTCGCAAGCTCTTACAATTCCTCTTTTCGTCGGGTCTCGAAAGGGGCGAGGGAAAATCATTGTTTGGAGAAAAAAAAACCACGAGGAAGACAAGAGAAGACTAGAGAGAGTGATTTGGAGGAAGAGAGGAAGGAGAGGGAGAGAGAGAGACTGAGGAAGCAGAAAGGAAGTCGCGGCGGGGAGAAAGAGACTTTGAGATCTGAAAATGAAATGGGAATGGGACAGAGACGGCTAGGGTTTTAAGTTTTTTATAAAGCATTCAATATAAGAAACCTATAAATAATATACTGGTACAACTATAACAATAGAAAGTCTACAGTCAAGTTGGCTGATAGCATCTAAACCCAACCTACAGGTCAGGGGTTCGAACCTTGATGCTAACATATTTTTTTGTATTTATATATATATATTTTTTTTTCGGTTCGGTTCGGTCCGGTTCGGTTTCTGGACCTCAAAAACCGAAACCGAACCAGCCAGATTCGGTTCGGTTCGGTTTGGCAGTTTCGGTCCGGTTTTTTTTCGGTTCGGTTTTTTTCGGCCTCGGTTCGGTTTGGTTTTCGGTTTTTTTCGGTTTTCGGTTATTTGAACCCACCCCTAGTTGCTGGGCTTATCCCATACACACGACCCGTGGCTTACAGCCATGATCGAGCTACCCCGCAGCAACCCATGGCCCACTAAGCCCTTTTAGGGCCTTGCCCTACTCACGACGCCCAAGCCCAATGCTATTGGGCTATGGTTTTTTAATCCAAAGTTATTTTTTGGTATTTTCTATAATTTAACCCAAATGTTATAATTATTTTTGCTTTTATAATCGACCATGTATGGTCCGATCTATTGAATTAATTAAAGTGACCAGCAGTCCATTAATCTAACAATTAATCCAAAAATATTGACCTGAATTTCACTTTTTGGCAATTAACAATTCAATAAATTATTTAATTTCTTTGAACCGTTGACTATCTTTCGTAGTCCCAAAACACTCATACTTGGGTTCTTGAAGCAACCACAAACCCATTACACTTTATTGTATATTGTATTATGTGTTCTTCCAGGTACCCCTATATATGAATTGAACGTTCATAGCTAAATCGAACCTGTAGTTTCGAATTTAGTGCCCTTGAAAACCCACAGTTTTCATTCAAAACTTACCACATGAAACCCATAGCTTTCATGTTTAAATTAAACCAATACATGTCTATAAAACCCGAATGTTCTATGATATATGTATATGGCTTTCCATATGACTAACCACGTTTTGTTGTACCCTCTGTTTAGGGACATGTCGAACTTGAAAAAGATTGATTTCACCGCTCTGGAAGTCTCTGGAATAAGCTACCTAAAGTGGGTTCAAGACGTGAAGCTTCATCTTATTGTAAAGAGTCTTAGAGCTACTATTAAGGAACCAACTGACGATGCCTAAAGCGCATGCAACTAATTCTAGCAGCCACAACCGACGGAAACCTCATTATGGCCGTGGAAATGGGTGGCAAGCCCTACCATGGGCCCAAGGTCAACAAAACAAAGGCCCACCCAAGAGAGGAAATTTGACCCAGAAGCGCCAACCCCTTGCACCTAAGGCCCCAAACCTCAAGAACAAGGGAAACGTTATCGTTCAATCGGCTTCCACTGAAATGAACATGTGTTATCGATGTGGATCAAATGATCATTGGTCACGCGTATGCCGAGCTATCCCTAAGGCTATTGTCAAGTATCATTCCCATCGTGAGTCTAACTTTGCACTTGTAGAACTTCCTGAAGATACTACTACAACTCTGAAGGTTTTAGATTTTCAGGAGGCGTCCACTCTTATGGAAGAATAAAGTTTTATTTTTCTAAAGACATGTTAGGATGGTTTACACCCACTAGGAGTGGCCGAACCCTCCCTAAATTTTTAGGTTTATGGTTTAATTTTCGAACAATTTTTCTATTTCTTTGGAATTATTTGTTTGGTTTTAGTTTGTTTTGAATTATGGACAATTATTGTGACACCCCATCCCGAAATATTTTATCGATAGTGTGAAATATCTTTAGGGTTGTGATTTTCACACACCCTTAATTACCTTTCCCACACCCCTTCTTATTTTTTAATACTTAATTGATATCTTACTATTTACTCTTCCATATATACCCTTTTTACTTTTTGACCATTGAAATTTTAAAATACTTTTGTTATTTTATTTTAAACTTGTTTTTTTCTTTTTCTAACACTCAACCATATATGCCTTTTGTAACTCAAGCTCTACTGCCTAATCTGAGAGATCCCAAAACAAGTATAAAACACCTATTATATAAA